TCAAAGCGCGTGCCGTTGCGCTGCTCCTGCGCCTTGAACGCCGACGAAGGCTGATAAAGACTAAAGGCGGCTGCGTGCCGGCCCGGGGCAGGGCCCCGCGCAGGGCTGCTGCTCCCTTGAAGCGCAGACCGCGCGTCTTGGCGGAGCAGTAGTAAAAAAAAACCCCCAAACGCCAGGTTTAAAACTCCAGGTGAACGCAAAAGGAGAGACAAAAAACCTAAAGCAACTGTTGTCCCACGTTCAGCTTTTATTAGGTTAAGCATTTGTAGAGGAACACTGCAAATAAGCGTTCCTGGAAGAAAATACAGAGCAGCGTGGACCGCTGCCGCAGACGTCAGTACAGTGGCTGTCAAGACAATCCTTGGTTTAACGAATTGTGGTTTTCACGTACGCGCTGCTTTTGTGCATCTTGCTTATCGCAGGGTTTGCAAATAGAGAAATGTTCTTCATCAGGTGGCAGCAGGACGCACAAGTCCCTCTGAAGCAGCATCTGTACTGTGCGCAGTTTGAACTTCGTTAGGTCCTTACGGTAATTAACGGGAGCAGAAGGAGCATTAACTGATGCTACGGTAAAGTGCCTTTTTTGCCACAGAATTTCAGCCTCGAGACGAGCAACGCTTCCACGCAACCTGCAGCCGCTCTCCGTACAGAGAATGAGTCCAGTGCCGGGTTAGCAGCAGCACGGATGCCCGGCCTAGGAAAAAGATGACATGCTGGTGTTAAAATCAGACTTTTTGTGCTTTCAACACTGATGCCTAGAGATTACATTGTAACTCGGGGAGGGAGGAGAGAATTTCTGGGAAATGCATTGTTTCAAAGGGGGAATTATCTCAAAATAGCCTTTACAAAAAAAAGAGCTAATGTTTACAGGTGGCATTTTGTAGTCAAAGCTGATTATGTTCAGAGTGCTGCTAACAGTGAAAATTCATTGTTATCTGCAATAGATTCAGCATAGAAAGTAGATTCACCTGCAAGTAAACATGGCATTGCAGTAAGTGTAAAAGCAAGCAGAAAACCCAAAAGGCCCAGTTCTGTGTCCTTTTCTTATGCTAGTGCTGTTAAGGTAGTTTTTTAGAGAGCAAGCTCTCTAAAATTATGGGTAATCCTTACAAACAAAAGCAAGTTTATGTCAGAAGCAAGGCATAGCCTGAAAGTCTGACCCATGAATGTCATCTATTCAGATTATGGAAAAGGAAACACACACATCGAGGGTGGTGTCAGAAAGAAAAATAGGATGTTTACAAAAAAACAGTGTGTGTAAAACAGTCTCTTTTATTCAGCAAAAGAAAGCATCTTACCAG